GTGGTGGTGGTGGTGGTGGTGGCGGTGGCGGCGGCGTCAGCGAACGAGCATTGTTAGCCAGGCGAGAACGTAGTCAAGCGACGGCAAGGGGGGGTCGAGAAGGACTGGCGCCTGGGGTGGCTTGCCTGCCTTTGTAGGCGCGGTCAGGATAGGTTCCGCCTGATGCTGACGTACGTCGACGGCCACCTTGCGAGCTCGTCCAATTGCGAGCTGCGCAGCCAGCAGTGGTAGGGATGTGCACAACAGCGACGCGCATGACGAACTTCCACCACAAGCGGCTCCGGGAGCCTCGGGAACCTCGGGCGAGTTGCGAGGCGAGGCAGTCAGTCGCTTTCAGCTACGACATGCATAACGCATGAGAGCCCGAGCGAGATCTTTCTAACCCGTCTCTCCTCCGTCGCCATACACACATACACATACACTTACATACTCACATACATACTCTCCTCACTCTTTCTCTCTCGCTCTCTTTTTCCTTATACTCTCTTACCCACACACTCTTTCACGTATATCGTATGTATACGCACACGTATACTCACGCAAAGAGAGGGACATCTACCACCAGAAGGAACACACACGCACGACATCATATACCTACTCTACTCCCGCCGAGTCGAGTCTCTTCCGTTCCGCGATTACCGTCGTACGTCCCTTTACGCCGAGCCGGTCGGTCGGTCGCTCGCTGCTCGGTCGTCGGTCCGCGGTGGCAACCCCCGAGTGCAGTCGCGTCGTGCATCGTTGTCATCGGTACGCGTCCACTACGTCGAGGCGACAGACAAGCCAGTGCGGAGTAATCCTCGCATCGCCGTGGACATCACCTTCGTCGTCGTCATCATCGAGACAAGATTAGTGAATACTCGACAAGTTCGAATCCCCACCAGGGATGTGTGACCTCGGCTGAATCGATATCTTCGTCGCGAGTGACTTCCCAACTCGATTCGAGGGTTGGTCAATACATAGTCAGGAAGCGATCTTTTGTTTCACGTGTAATTGTCATATAAGAACGAGTGGCCGTGACAGGGCTGACGACAGAGAAAGAGAGCAAGAGGGAAAAATTGAACTCCGGAGCGCCGCGACAGAGCGGTGCTCCGATCTGGAGACGCGCTTCTCCTCCGCGGGGACCCACCCCGTTGGAGTGATCGAGAAAAACAGTACATCGACAATTTTTTTCACTACGAATTCGTCGATGTTTCTGTATTGTTGCATACATGACATTTATGAGAAACTATGGACGAAACTTTATCGAGAACGACCAGCTTTGTCTGGTCCGCAGTGTGTCGACGCGAACTGTGGATTGTGCAACGAGTGATCAGTGATTACTAAGAGATCTACTTTTTGAAGATCATTCGATCGTGAGGTGACCAAACGTATAATAGTTGCGTCTGAAATTTTGCGAGAAAATTCTATCGACAGAAGATTCTATCTCGATTCGTTCTCGTGAGAGTTTTTCATCAAATTATAAAATCTTCATTTTTCCATTTATAAACGAAAATCAAAAGTTTAGAGGACTATTTGCGAAAGGGGTGCGAGCGAACAACGTACCCCGTGGACAGTCCACGGTGGGGAACCACATCGAGAGGGTTTCACGAAGCCTCTCGACGAGTAGGAAGTATATGGCCGCTACCACGTACATGCCGGTTAGTAGCGCAGTGTCTACCGACCTGGATGGTGGTTCAGGTACAACGATCGGGATGAACATCGCCGTAGGTGGCTATTCCTCGGGCTCGCCCCGCAGCGCCGCCGACGCTGGGGAAATGAAGTACATGACGGCGCCGCAGCATCATCACCACCATCACCATCACCATCAGGTGTCGTCTTCGCCGTCGCCAAACGGACTTTCCCATCCGGCGAGTCTGTCGTCGGCGAATCCTTGGGTGAACTTACAACCTGGTAGCGATCCTTGGGCGGCCTCGATGGGTATGCACCATACTAGCCATCATCCACATCACCATCCCCATCAGGCAAACACGAGTCTTGATGTGAAGCCGTTGACCGCTGCGGCCGCGGCGACTGCGACGGATCAGGGTATGCACCATCGAGGGCCGCATCAGTCCCCGGGCATGGCCTCACCGCACTCTTGGCATGCACCGGTTGTCCCGTCGGCGCATTATAATCCCAGCGGTGGCGCGGCCTCGCCCACCACCCTCCAACAGTACCATGCAGCGATGAACGGTATGCTGCATCAACACCCACATCAACATCCACATCAGCTACACAATCATCAGACCGGTTTACCTCACCACTTGAGGGACGCGCACAATCATAGTCCACCGTCGGGGCATCCTTTGCACGCGGGTCATCCTCTCGATAGGGATCACAGCGCCGGCGAGGAGGACACGCCGACATCGGACGATCTCGAGGCCTTCGCCAAGCAATTCAAGCAACGGCGCATCAAACTCGGCTTCACCCAGGCGGACGTCGGTCTCGCGCTCGGTACTCTCTACGGCAACGTCTTCTCGCAGACGACAATATGTAGGTTCGAGGCTCTACAGTTGAGCTTTAAAAATATGTGCAAGCTGAAGCCGCTGCTGCAGAAGTGGCTCGAGGAAGCGGACTCGACGACTGGATCGCCGACGAGCATCGACAAGATTGCTGCCCAGGGTAGGAAGCGAAAGAAGAGGACGTCGATTGAAGTGTCAGTAAAGGGTGCGCTCGAGCAACACTTCCACAAACAGCCAAAACCGTCGGCTCAGGAAATCACCTCGTTGGCGGACTCGTTGCAACTTGAGAAGGAAGTGGTCAGGGTGTGGTTCTGTAATCGGCGGCAAAAGGAAAAGAGGATGACGCCGCCAAATACCCTCGGCGACGGTATGATGGAGGGTATGCCACCGGGCCACCAAAGTCAGGGCGGCCTCCACCAGGGTTATCATCCTCAGGATCACCTACACGGCTCGCCTATGGGTCACAGCCACAGTCCACCAATGCTTAGCCCTCAGGCCCTCACGGCCCATTCGCTTGCGGCCCACTAGCGTTCGCCGGGGCCTCCCCCGTTGGGCCTCGCGGTAACCTCGCAGAACTCGGCGAATGTGTCGTCAACGGCAGAGACGACGACCCTGCCGCCATTCTATCATCACTACCTTCAGGCACGCACCGGCAGTTACACGACCTCGTAGCTGACCGACTCGCGGCGCCTTTTCTATCTATCGGACAGCGGCGCTCGTTACCGAGACGAGGGTACGGAATGGTGGCTCGTTCGACGAGGTTCAACGGGGTTTAACGAGGCCGAGACCGGTCCACCGGGGAGGCTGAGGAGCTGACGCGCACGGTCGGTATTTTTTTGTCGACCTTGACCGCGCACATAAACCTGGAGAGAGGATGAAAGCTGCGGATGGAACAGACAGAACAAGAGAAATACAGAATAAAAGAGAGGACATGTTGCCGTGACTATCGCGGCCGTCGGCGAACATTATGATCATTCTTCGCTCGAGTTCTTCAAAATATCTTCGTCATTGAAAACTCATCGTCATCGCCGTCATCGTTATTTCGTCGTTGCTCACACGGCTCCAGATATTTATCGTCCAACGATGATATCCCAGTGATAAGTGAAATGTCTTCATCGTGCTTTTCGCAACGCGACGCAAGAGGAGCTGCCAGTGGCGTTCTCTCGAAGGGTATCATAGATGGACGTGGTGATGACGTTCCTCCTTCGCGCGGCTAGGTCGGGGCCCGTTCGTCCGTTCGTTAAGTCCGAGTTGGATTGCGAACCTTGTTGGCTGTTTGCTGTTGTTGTTGTTGTTATTTCATCATCGTCGGTGAGCGGAAGTGATTAACTCAGCGGTCTCCGACGGGGACCCAAGAAAGGATGGTTAAATAACGAGGTGCGCGATCGCAAAGTGGACTCGAGTGAGGGTGCGGTTAAAAAGAATCGAGGTGTTCTCTGTCTCTCGCTCACAAACAAAGCGGAAATATCGGACACGAAACACGCATTGCAAGGATGCCTTTTCGAGCGCGTGCGATTTTCCCTTATCTCCCGCGGGGTCCGAAATTCGCGACGGACGAACGGGCGTCAAGAAAAGAACATACGTAAGGAGTGAGTGCTGTGTTCGCGCGGGATTTGCTCGAAGCAAACCCAGCGGATGATGTAACATAAGTAAATATGGATTGTAAATAATGTACTAGATAAAGCTAGTAAGTTAAGTGAAAGAGAGAGCATGAATCGTCGTCGTCATTGTCGACAACAAGCGAAAAGAACAGACGCGGGAGCTGGAATAAACGGAGGAAGGAAATATAAAGAGAATTTTTCGAGAGGAGGGAGACAAGGAATATGCAGCGCGACAAAGTAAAAAAAAAAAAGAGGAACAGTTTATATACATATATAAAGGGACAGGGTGCACATCGAAGAGAGACCGTGTATTGGAAAAGCGCGTGCGAAATCTTAGCGAGACAGCAAGACAGTTCCCCCTCACGCGAAAAACCCCTACTGTATAAAGAGTAAGTAACATAAATATAGATAAATGTATATATACACACACTCACACGAGTCTATACATATATAGATGAAAATATATTATATTATTATATATAAATAGAGAAAGAAAATATATATATATATATGTATATGAACACGCAGAATGGTACGTTACATTCGAAAGCTCTATGTCTATGTAACATAAATCGGAAGATTAGCTATGTCTTATCATTATTGTATTATTATTATGTTTATTATTATATTGCTATTATTATATATTATCATTATTATTATTATTATTATTATAATATTGTTCGTTGTCTGGTCTTGAGAAAATGTAATTGTGGCACAAATCCGGCGGTGAATTTATTATTATCACTATTTTAACATTCGCCACTATTATTATTGTCACTTATTATTATTATTCTTTATTATTGCGATTATTATAATTTTAATTATTATTATTGTCGTCACATCAATATTAATATCGATATCTGTACTACCCGGGAGTCGAGCATGGAGCCGAGAATCTCGCGTCTTCCTATCTCGCTACTGGGCATAATATCGAAGAATTCTTCCTCTCTCGCTCTCTCTGTCTTCCTTTGTCTCTCTACTTCTCGTCTCATTCATCTCCTCTCCTGTCTGGATTGTGTTTTTTTCAAAGAGGCTTAGGCAGATGCGAAGCTGACGTACACGGTTCGCGTACAGTACTATTTACTGAAACTATCTTACGTCATGAAGTATAGTATTAGACGATTATAAACTGTGTGATTTACGTAGAAGTTATTAATTATCCGATCAGTTTATGGTACAGTAATTGTATTGTAATATGGGACGTATAATTTCATATTCATTTTCTGTTATTAAATTCTACTGTCTTTTAAATATCAGTTTGACGACAAGCAGAAAAAGTTCGAATAGAATAATTATATGAATAGTGAAAAAATCCATTTATCGCTTAACTGGTTTATTTAGATTATTACGTATGTAGAAATTTAGATTATTATATATCGACCGGTTGCGCTTCTATCAAATTTTCTTTGGTTTGTTTGCCGATCGTCTCTACACGAATCGTCTCGCTCTCAGTTTTGATTCTTTTACTCACTACCGCTGTAAATCTTAACACGCGTAACTAATTCGTACTCATCACGCGTGGTACAAAATATACAAAGATACTTGATTAAAGGTGACAAAGCTGTCATTCTTGCCGTCGGCAAAATCAAGTTTATCCCATGGCCTTTAAACTTTAAGCGAATGAAAAATGAAAGTAGATACACGAGAACTTCCTTTTTATATCATATTTTTTGTAATAATCTTGTGTAATGAGATCGTATATTTCACAATTGTCACATTTTATTATTATAAGAATTGTGTTCAATATTACTTCTCTAAAAACAATTCCGCGATCTCTTCTTTTTTTTCCGCAAAATTTAATTTATATAGGAAGATTTACTTAATCTCGAATTGAGATCCTTGACAATGTTTTATTCCATAAAAGACCAATTTTACATCGGCAAATTTTCTCATGAGAAATAAATATGACGTTATATATTCTGTGCGTGAAATTTAAATTGTGCCTCTCGACTAGTTGTACAGGCTAGAAATTGAAATGAAATCGATCGATCGTATCTTCTGTTTTTAGTCTCGCACTTTGTTAAGATTTCACTTTCTGCTTTTTTTTAAGTATTTTTTTTAAGCCATTCGCTGCGTAGGTAGTCACGTGTCCGATGCTCCATCCAATACTTCCATCCTGAGTATCTACGCGATTTCTTTTGCAACACGCTCTCTCGTTTCAGTAATCGCATTGAATCGTGGTAATCGAACGATATTGACGTTTCAAATCCGTTCAGTAATATTTTCTGTATAATTCTCTCATTATTAATTCTAGAGAACGCGCTTTAGATCTGCGTACGGAAACATCCGTCGCACGATATATCCTATAAGAGGAACGTCCTATTTTCCTTCTCCGATTGTCGCGAATATCCCCCGATCGAGTCTCTCATTGTCAGTGCCGCTTTGTTCCGTCGGTTTTTATCTATATATATATTTTTATTTATTGAACCCTCTCTCTATCGACTTCGCCGCCTTTTTGCGGCCCTCCCTTGACGTCGTGAAACGCGTAGGTGGTCGCGAACTCCGTAGCGCCGACGCACACCTTCGCCTTCTTCTCTCTAGCGATTTATTTTCCACTTCAATCGTTGTGTGGTACTCGGTTGATCGCGCCAGTGTACTGAGTGCCCACGCGAAACGCGGCGTCGTCTCCTTTTCTTTTTCATCGCGGTAGGCTCGTTACGCGCTGTGTCGCGCGGATTTATTTGTTTGGCGTCATCAGCTGCTGTCGTAGTCATTACTAGCGCATCTGCAGGTGCTGTTTTGGTGTTGTTTGTCCGGTATCCGATTAACTTTAACGAACGTTAATGAGAAATCCCGGATAAGATTTGCTGGTTTTACGAGCGTCTTGTCGATTTCGATTTCGTACACTTCTCGGTGATCATTTTTCAGATTTTATTTCAAGAACGTTGTTATATATTGTTTCATGATCTTTTTACGATTCCATTATTGCACAATATTCTTTGGCACACGAAATGATACAGCATTAAATTAATTTATAAAATTAATTACATGATTTTGTATATTTTTTCCAAATTGTTCAGTTATTAAAATAATCATTAGTTGTTCACTTCATATTCTTCTGAATATACAGTTGATAATATTCTATGTTAAAATGACAGAAAGATTATGGCAGTACTAACAACACATCGTAAGTCGGATTATCGTAAAAAGCATACCTGACGGTTGCGTTCTTATTTGATTAAGATGGTTCAATGAACCCGTTCGTCATCGTCTATTAATGCCCGGACCATTGCGTTGACATTACTCGTATTTACCGAAATACCGACGGTAATTTATACACTTCCGCGGAGTCGTACTTGCGTCTGGCAGCCGGGGCCGCATAACGATGCATTAGGTGTATATAAACTGCCCGGCGCGTTAATAGCACCTATAGTATCTACTTGCCGGGTTAAAAGAGTCGTTTAGGGGCGCAAACGCGCGCCGGGACCGCGGCTTGTAATTCACGGCCCAATTTGGGAAGAGAGAGATTTTTATGGGGACGCGATCGTTCCGTGAAGAGCGCGTCACGGGGCTTTAATAAGGTGGGCCCACCGCTGCACCGGGGGACTTTACGGACGGACCGATGCGTTACACGGCCACCGCGCGGCCCGCTAATCATCGTAATTCTTGATCGTTATAATACGCTTAACGCATCGCGGGCTATTCATTTCCGTAATACTTCGACGTTTCAGTAATGGCACGGTATATTGGACCCAACCCCTCCAGTTAGGCTCTATTAGGAGGTTTAGCTATCGCGCCTTTACGACATGAAACTAGATTTCGAACGTTTGTCAAATGAATCTAGTCCTCAGCACCATTATTTATAGAAAGCTTCCCCCCCCCCGTGTTTTATTATAATAATGGCATGGAAATTATGAAATATTTTTATTTCATTACATAAACATTTATTTATGAAATTGATAAAAGCTAATATAAAAATTTGTCGCGATGAAAAATTTTATAAACCGTCACTCCTCTAATCATGCGAATATGTATGTATTCTCATTCGTTTGCGCATTTCACGCTGATAATCTATATTGCACCACGACCTTGAAAATTTAGCTCGTTCATTACGATCGATCGTAGCACGCGTTTCCCTTTATGGATTAACATTTCCTAACAAATCAGTTAACGTGTATCCGCTTTTCGTACTATCATGCGAACGCTTTAAGGTCTTATCTATGACTATCATAGTGGATCGGTAGAAGCATATTTGCCTACGAGACGACTTTCGGAATTTTACGAGATCCGATATTACGTCGTCCATCCTGCGAGAATAGAGTCCTTCCCACATTAGCGACGCTCGTTAGCCTTTCTCATTTGTTGGAATACAGACGTCCTTCTTTGACCTAATCACCACGCTGTCGTCGAGGACGAATTAAATCCTTGTTAAGTCCATTTACCGATGCTGGCGTATCCATTCCCGTAGGTTTGCTCCAAGACATTTCAAGCATTATGTTGCCATTAAGCTCGCACCAATATCTTTCGTCAGCCTTGTGTATATCACTGTATATATATATATATGTACCCTCAACAGTCTTTTTTTTATCCACATGATCTTTTATCTATATAAATTATTGTTTTGTAAACTGACAATCAATTTGGAAGATTACCAACTAAAGAGTATGTATCTCGAGAAATGTAAATCTCATGCAGCTTTACTCGTCAACTTGAAATCGACTTCTTATTCTCCACTAATAGTATATAATTCATAGTACAAATATCTGTTCTTACGAACGACAGATTCAAATAAATCTGCTGCGTGGCGGATGAAAATAATTTTGTATTATGGAAATGTTAGATTTTATCTGGGAAGAATTAAATTCGGATTGAATCTCGGAAATTTAAGCATGCCGTACGAAAATACTTCAAAATGTGATGTTATACATATTATAATAGCTCTTTTTTTTTAATTAAAATCGAGAGCTGATCTTTTATATTTAGTAACGTATTGCTCTCTGTACAAAATAGCAATCTCTCTGCTATGTGTTACATACAATGATGATTACTGCAATTACATGTGCTATTATCAGTCGTATAGCTTCTGTGATTACATATTTGCTCAATTGGCCGCTGATGCTTATCACCGTACTCTTCTCACATTTCCTCGATATCAAACATCTTCGATTTCGATTGGCTTTATTGCGGCTTCGCGATGATCAAGCTTGCCCAAAAGTTATTATTCGATGAGGAATTTCACCGGTGATATTAACATCACCGACCAAAATATTTTGAAACGATCTTTTTATACGTATTATTGGTCGAATTCATTATTGATGAAATAATACCGATGAGAATTGATATCTTTGCCAGTATCTGTTCCTAACTATGGCGAAAAGTGCAATCTCGATGATATTAATTAAATTTATAAATTAATTACTGTTGCGGAATTCAATTTAAAAAATACCGC